ACTTGGCCGCTGGCGGGTCTTGTCCGGCAGCCGAAGCTGGGCGTGGTGGTAATCAGAAATGAGTCTGGGCTGCGGAGATCTGGAGCTTGTGGAGAAAAGTAACTGGCGCGAAAAATCAGTCACCTCGTGTGCCGTTGTTAGTGAGGAGGCAGTGTCTCCGGAGAGAAAGATGAAAGCGCTCGGTCTCCCCGCCGTGACCATCATCGGGGAACCGCATTTTGCGACGAGAGTGGGAAAGTTTCGTGGTGAGTCATTTTCTCATTAAAGAGCCAATCTGGTCGTCGAAAGCAGTTTGTTTTCCCTGTGCAAGACTAGCAAAAGGTTCTGCAGAAACGGGTTTGTTCCACAGGCAGCAGGACTTTTTCGCGACTTAAAACTCCCCCTCTTATTAATTGATGTTTTCCCCCACGGAAAAAAAAAAGCAAGAAGCCAAACCAAACAACCAAACAACCCCCTCAAAACTCCGGGAACTTTTTAATTTGGGAGGTCGGGGTCGGGGGGTGTTGTTGATTTTTATGATTTTGAGGTTTTTTCAGCTGTATGGTAAATCATGAAACACAACCACAGCACATCTCAGTGAATCACCCTAAAAACAAGTCCTTGGTACCAAGGTTCACAGTTCCTAACTCCAAGCCTAAAATCAAAAAGAAAACCCCTGATTTAACTGAAGTTTATCCATACGAAATTATTAATATCGACCTCATAACATGGGTTATACTTTTTATACTCTTAAGTTAAATATGGATCTGCCAAAATAGATTTGTTCTTTCCTACATGAATTATCAGACTAAGTTCTATTAGATCTGTAATGCAAGAGATCAAAGGTAAGATCTCTTTTGTTCTGAAAAAGTTAAGATTTATTTTGGGAAAGAGGCAAAGTGAAGTGTCCACTCATGGTGCACACTTGCAATATTTTATTTCTGGGAAACAAGGTTACAGGTTTAGAGGAAGCTGTTCTCGTGGTTAGCCTCTTTGAAAACACCTGTTTGAACTGAAACTGAGAAAGACATGAAGAACCAGGTCTGCCAGTATTGAAAACGTCTAGATTTACCTGACTGTGGTAAATTTTAACTGCATTCACTGTAGTGAAGACAGGCAGTTAAAAATAAAAAAATTCATTATTATTTGCTAAGATACTAGATGGGGTTTTTATTCTTCACCATTGCATTTATGCATTTTATATACTGCATGCAAAGTTGTTAATACTCATATAGGGCATTTTCTTAAGATCTCATCCAGAAACTCTTATCAAATATTTGGTTTTTACTGTACTTATATCAGCATATCTTCCAATATCAGTTACATGTTCTCCATCTTCACACTTCACAAGACCAGGAATTTACAGTGGCATATTTTCTTTTTAATTGGGATATTAGCAGATGTGGTTGGCAGCAGTCAGGCTTGCCCCTGGGACTCTCTTCTGTGGATTTTCCCACCAGCCATCTCTTCAACCCATTCATCATGTTCAAAAATTTCTGAGGTAATTGCAATAAAACAACTTTCACACATCACTTTGCAAAGCAAGTTAGGAAGTTAGGAAGTATGGGATCTTCATCTCGTCTCATAATAGGTATAATTTACCTAATATCTAATATGGAATTTAAGTGAAAGATTAATGAGCTCCTGAATAGTGCTTGTGGCTTTAGAAAAGCAACTTGGGAGAGAGAGCAGAGATTCCATTTACTTGGTATATTGCAACCAGGACACTTTTTTTCCCCTACTGGATACTTTCCTAGCAGCAGGAAGAAAATGCAGATGAATTTCAAGAGGAGGCAATGGCTACTTTTTCATATTCTGAGTCTTGTTGTTCTTGTTTATGTCAATATGATTTTTAGATTTAATTGTTCTAAAGCTGCATCTTAACACCAGTCAAAACTTTGACTGGTAAATAACAAGCTGTCTACTTGCTATACAGTTCATTCAAAATACCTTACTCTATTGCACTGATGCATCTTTATTGGGAATTTATATTGCTTTTGACAATGGAGGAGAAAAATGCCATTATTTTCTCTTAGCTTGATTTGATTTTGATTAAAAGGCTTTTTCTTTTTTTCTTCTGTCTACAAAACCGACATGTTTTGCCCCCTGGATTTAATTTATTTTTCTCACTACCATACAGACTGGCAATTTTTATTTAGCTATTTTCAGAAGTCCTGGTAGATTTTTAGTTAATTTATCTGTTAATTGTTCTAGTATATTTTATGTACAATGATGTCTGAGCTAATGTCCTCACTAGCTGAAGCAGGTTGTTAAATTTGAAATTTATTCTAATATTTAGGATACTATCTGCTAAACACTAGTAATGGTGGCAATAAAATGTTACCTATAATAAACATATGGGAACTTCAGTGAGACCCAGGCAAATTATAAATGCTTTATTTCAAAATATAGGGCTGCTTTAAACTTTTATATGCTGAAGCAGATTAACAACACACAGGAAAGCCACATGATCTGAGGTCATACAGGAATTTATAGACTATCTAAAAAATGAACACATATCTTCAGGAGTTAAATAAATTGAGTAGTACAATTCAGCCCACTATTCTTGTAAGATGTTAGTTATCCTAGGTTTCAAAGAGAGCCTTTTCAGGTTTTTCTTGTTTCAGATGAGTGCTTCAGAGAAAAAGTTTAGAAAACACCAGAGAAAAAGAGTTAAAATACGAGAAATAATTTGGTTTACTTTAAAATATAAATAAATACTTTATAGATAAAAAAGCATATTATTGCTAATATATTTCACTGCAGAATAACAATAAGAAATGGCTTTTCACAACATTCACTTGCATTAGCTCCTTTCCCAAGGCTCTTTGGATGACAAATCTTCTAAGACAATATTTAAGGCCACATAGTTTTATCATTTTAATAATTTTCAATATGTTCATTAGAGCTACAGCAAGTTATGCTTAAATTTAGTTGCTTCATTAAAAAGTACTGAATAGAAAATGGTCCAAACAAACCGTGTCAGGCAGGCCCCATTTCATTCCCCTGGTATCAATGGCTAATTTGTGTTGACATGAAAGGATGCCAGATGCATCCCATAGCCCAAATTTATTTCTTAGGTTCAATAGGAATAAAATTGGTCACAATTTGCTTCATCTCATCTGTGTTCAGCCAATACAACTTCCTTGCCAGACATTCCTAACTTTATTTAAGTCATGAGGAAGACTTTCTAATTTTTCATTTTATGACTTCTGCATGGAGTTATTGACAGACTGAGGAATCTGAGTTCTCTCACAGATTCTTCACTTCATATTTACTTTCTAAATTTTCTCCTATTTCTTTATGCTTGAAATCAGAAAATATGCATATACACTATACTATTTTTATCTCCTATAAAACCTTTTAACCATCAGGTAATTTTAAACTGTTTCCACAGAATATTATTTAATTCAAGAACTATGCATTTTCTTCCAAATCAGTAAAATGGTTTTAAAAGCAGACCTAGAAAGTCCTGACACAATCAGAAGCAACATTTAGCAATTGAAAATCTTTAATTATGCCAATTTAGTTTTAGAGGCTAAGCATGTAATGTATTATGCATGACGGGATAACCAGAAACTTGAAAAAGTTAAAACGAAAAACCATACTTGACTATTTCCTCTCTCTTCTGAGATGAAAAGCAATCCCTAGCCACAAAGAAGGAATTTCAACTCCTGCAAATACTTCTTGACATTTAAAAACTGATGTTTTCTATAATACTTGAAATTTATTATAAAATTTACATAGTTGATATAAAAATTTTATTCTTACAAATGTGTTGGTTTTTTTAAGTGTTACTGAAGCCTCTTTCATTCTGTATGTTCTTCCCTACCCTAATGGCAGAAGTTGTATAGTGACTTCCCCTGCTTTATATACAGTATCAATGACTGGATCATTTTATGAAATGTCCCACTTCAGTATATCTTTGGACAAAAAAGGATACTAGCTGAGATACTAGGACATCATCACCACTCCACCCCCGACGTTTACCTAAAATGTTCAGCAACTGGAAAAACTATCTGTAAGGATATAATTGCTGGTCAGAGCTGCATTAACCCTAGAACACCACAAACTTGAAATTATAGTTTGGGTTATAAAATTCAGTCAGAGAAGGAACTAAATTTGACAGTAGTACCTATGCCCAAATAACCTGGAGTTTGCTCTGGAGAAACTGCAGCATATTTGAATACTGATGAAGGGAGGAGGCAGCAGTGAAAGATTGCCTTCCTGTAGCAAAAAGCTTCCAAGAGGCAATGACCTTCTGAGATTTGTGTCCACTTTCTCTTTCCTTGGCAGGTCCAAGAGGTCCTAACTTGTTCTGAGGCAACCGAAGACCAAGAATGGTCTTCAGTGAAGGAGACAGAAAAATGAGAAGGAATATGTGGGCAAAGTAAAATGCTTTGGGAAAGAAGCAAGAGACAGAAGACCTACCTTCAGATCAGTGCTTCAAATCCTCCTTCTAGCAGCCTCTGAGGCACCAGAGGCTAAAGCTCGGGAAAAAGAACCTGAGTATCTTTGCATGTGTATTGCTCTCATGAAGTAGTTTACAAGCGAGGATGTATTACAACCAATGATTTTTCCGTTTAAATGGATGGTGACTTCCCAGCTAAACATTCTTTTTGCCTAATGGAAGCAGTCTGATTTTTCAAATTTTTAGTGTTGTTTCACGGAAGAAAAGCAATCCAGAGTACAGTTATTTTATTCATAAGGAAAAGAATTAATTTTCTTGTGGAATCCCAGCTTTTCTATTCATATTTGTGCACTAGAGTTTTAAATTTTAAAATCAAAGAAGTCCAAAACCTTTATTCTAAAATTGTATTTTTTTCATTGTATGCAAGATAGATCACTATTATTTCTGTGCTAATAGTTATTTAGAAAATCATACTATTTAGTATATCACAGTTGTTTACATGATTTTTTTAGATCAATCTTTTACTATGAGAAGGATGTAAATGATAAGTATATGCTTACTCGTAATTCTTTTCTGAAAATGGTAAAATTAAGGAAAACAGAAATGTTGTATATTCATTTCAACATACATTATGACTGAAACTGGAATCTTGGATATAAAGCATGACAAGAATATGAAACAGCAAAATTTAAAGGGTCTAACATTCTGGGCTTTGCAAGAAGTATGAAACTTATTGACAATGAGTAATCTCTAATCTTCTCTTGATGATTCGGTAATGTGTTATTATGTTACAATAAGTTAGTATACCTACAGAATAAGGATGGGCTGGTTGTAAAAAGTTAATTTGGACTAAGCATTTTTAAAATTACTGTATTCGGTGGTTTTGAACTGAATAATACATATTTCTTCCAAATTTTCACTCAACTGAGAAATGTTCAATATTTTGCCCTTCTTGTGGCTTTTGGGGTATTCATATCTGGTGTTCTGTTCTAGACTAATCTCCCTTGCACATCGAGTCTACCTCTGCATGCCACAGCTTTAGCTGTAGCTCGTAGCAACAGTTACAGTTAAGGATGCTTAAGAGCTTCTATTCTAAAGCGGCTTTTTAGTTTCTTCTAACTTTTTTTTACATTTGTTCTTTGTTTCTTTGTTTCGTTCTTTTTCTTTCTTTTTCTTTCTTTCTTTCTTTCTTTCTTTCTTTCTTTCTTGACTGAAGGTATTTATGGAATGACCTCATAAAGAAAGAATCTTTTCCATCATGGAATACCCACCTACTACTTGACAATATTCCTGAGATATATAGAAAGCTTTTCTTATTTTTTTCCCTCTATGTTTGTAAAAAATAATTAAAAGAAATCCATAAAGAACCCCTAAGGAACAGGTGCTACCTATTTGCAATGTATATACTCCAAACAGTTTGAAAACGATATACATCAGTTACCTCCTACTTTTACGGGGAAAAAATAAAATTGCTTTCGACACAGCTGCCTTTAAAATTGATATCCGAAAATACACTTATTTTCAGATGGTTGGAAAAGCCATGCTTAAACACTGTCCAAACACTAAGGCCAGGGATATTCAAAGTGCCTATTGTCGGCCTAGTTTTGGGAAGGAGATGAAAACAGAATCAGTCTTTTTAAAATATACAGCCTAAAAAGCAGATTTTTTTGATGTTAAAGTATATCTTTAAAGAGAATAAAAGAGCCTACAGATTGCTTATCCCTATTTTTGTCATGGTACATTTACAGTCCAATGCAGAGCAAACAAGATGGTTACACCAGATAACAAAAACAGTCTCTGAATGCAGAAGTGACTATCCATGCTCCTCTTTCCTTAAAAAAAGCTCTTTCTCATATAAAGATATTAGCACCACTTTAATTCTTGCAGTAAATTTTTCCTTCCAGTTCATAGGCCGATCCCAAGAGGGAAAAAATGTCCTCAGCTGTACCCCTTATACGAGGCAGGCAGATTTAGCAAGTCTTGATCTGAGAAAGTACTAATGCAAATGCTTAAGATTAAACATGTGGTTATGTGCTTTTCTGAATTAAAATCTGTGTCAGAACGCTTATTTAGCTACAATTCTGATATTAAGAAAATCTTTCCATGTTGGCTGACCTAATACAGATAGTGGCATTATTTTGAATGTTCTTTTTGTTTTATAAATTTTGGGTAAGTTACATACGATATGTAGATATTTGCATGAGAGACATAAACTAGCTCATAAACATTGCCTGCTTTATTTTCAAAATTATTTCTGCTATAATTATTGTGATAAGATATGACTGTGACTGAGACCAGGTGATACCTTCTAGATACAGAGATACAAAAGCTCTGAACTACTTGTGAATAGATATGCAAGGACAAGCTCTTGCCAGATATATTTGAAACTAATAAATGCTGGTAATAACTGTGTTCTTGGCACGTATACCAGCCCATGCTATTGTTGCTGTGTGTCACTACAACATAAAAGTGGTCAACACTTAAGTACCTCCAGCTGTATCTGGCTCATGAGTGGATAAATGCACAAGTTGAACAAAAATAAGCAAGACCAAGGAGCTAATGTTCTTTAAATCTCAGGTCTCCATGATGACCAGTTGCATGTGGCAAACTGTGAATGTTCTCCACTGGTATCTTCGGCTTAATCCTAAGAACAGGAAAATGTAAAGCCCACTAAGACATTGTGTGGCGTAAAGAAGTGAGTTAGCTTTAAATGAAGTATTTTTGGTACTGGCAACACTCAAGTTGTGATAGCACGGAGCTTACTCTGTAGGAACTTTATTCTGCTACATGGGCAAGTTTAGCAGCCTGTCCTGCACTTCATGCTATTGTGAGATGGCTGCTACACAGTATTTTATGTAATACCTCTTATGCAGAAGGTATCCAACAGAGCAGAGGCACATGGCAAAAAGCACTTCACTGGGCTAGAGCTACACTGCACCATATAATATAATAAAATATACTTTAAAAATGTAATAATGTATATTATATGCTATAATACAATACACTACAAAGTTTATTATATTATATTATATACACTACTTAGTTTATTCTAACAACTTTTTCCTATTCATTATATCATTCTCCCTTAATCAGAATTTTCCTGCATAAAATGTGGCCATTCTTGAGATGCTTTGAGATTGATCTTGAGATTCTTTGTCAAGAAAAAAAACATTTACATGACATGAAAGAAATGAAGCATTTCTGAAGGAAGGCTACCTCACTATTTATATGGGACTTGTCTGCCAATGAAAGGTAAATCTCCAAACACCTACAATTATTGCAAGACTCAGGTGAAATTAACGACTTCAAGACTACTGCTGCTAATAGGGCAGAGTAAAAATCCATCAAGTGTCTCTTCTTTACTTTTAATGCCGTCACAATGACAAGATCCTATGTCCCCCAGGCCCATGGTGGGTTGCCACTGCATTGCAGGGAGAAGGCTGATGTGTCAGAACACATTAACTTCCATAGCAGGTGGGCAAGGGATGACTGTACAAAGAGGTATTAGGCCCAATGATTAAGCAATATGAAAACATAACAGTAATTTCAATTAACAGACAAAATATTAAAACATTTGGAAAATATTCATGGAAGAACAGCAGGGACACATTTTTCAAAACAGTAAGAATAAGAAATAAAAGAAAGGCTAAAACCCCCATATTCACAAATTAGGGATTATAACCCAAGATTAGTTTTACACAGGGAAACAGAAAAGTACAAAAGTAACTGTCTTGTTAACTACAACAAATTGAAATTAATGTAATATTTATTATCCTGTTATCTTTCCAAATCTTTGCTGATTTGTAAATGCTGCCATTTTAGCCACATGAAATAAGAGATTTACCTTATGTGGGACAGAGAATCATATTCCTATCTATTATGCATTGTATTTCAGGACTTGTATTAAAATCACTTATTTCCAAGAACAACAGGATAGAGATAATAAGAAAGATAGGTACTAATAGACACAGAAACACAAAATAAAACCAAATAAAATTATAAGAGATCTTTACAAGCTCTATATAATACCTTGGAACCCTACTTGTTACTGTATTACATGATGGTTTGTATAATATGTTTTTTTGGAACTCTGCCCAGCACACTGCGCACATTACTGTGATGAGACCAGAGAGAGGGAATACTGAGGGAAAGGGAGGCAACATGATGATTCTTATAGACCTTTTGGGTTTTAGAGGAATTTGCAAATGTTATACAGTTCCTTCTACCCTGTGCAGCAACAGTAGTCTGACCAGACTGAAAATGCTTGGAATCCATAGAAGTAGGGATTTTTTGAAGGCTGATAAGTGATAGATTTTGGAAAACTTCTTTTTTCAGCTCTTGAAGAAGTCTATAAGCTGCTGAGTTTTTTTTATTTGCAAATAAAAGAGTACAGTGCTTACCATTGTTAGAGAATAAATATTGTCCTGCATAATTTATGATAAAGTATGATAATTCCTATACTTCTAAAGGCTTGCTAGAATATGTAAGTATTATGCTTGTACACTTTTGTATATGTCAAACTAATTTAAAAAAGCCTTTAGGAGAAAAAGTATTATGTTAGAAAACTTTGGTAGTATAATATCAACATTGATTAGGTAGTTATATATTACAGATATTTTTTAGACTGCCATACTTAGTGTTTCTTTTTGATTGGGAAGATGCTAAAAGAGTCCACTATCAAGAAATATAGGAAAATAATGTCAAGCAATGTCAAACCTCTTCAAAATTACAGGAAAAACCTCCAAACAAATAATTCTAAGGAGTCAAAAGGATGACGAAAACATTATTCAAATGGCAGTTGTGGAAACATTATTCAAATGACAATTGTGTAAAGTTGTTCCTTGTGAGCTCTGGAAGTCATAGTAGGTTTAATTTCCTTTTTCTTTTCATTCAACAACAACACCACCACCATCATCACAAAAAACTAAAACAAAAAAAAAAACAAATAAAAAAAATTGTTGCTTCCTTTGTCTTATGAACTATGCAATTGAAGCAGACATCTTCTTTAAAGAAGCAGCCACTTTTAGTTTTTCCAAATATAGAGAATCGAACACTAAACAAACAAACAAATCAAGCCACTCCTTTGTGCACATCCCCCTGGCCAGCCACTTTGCATGTGACACATTTGGAACAGCTTCTATCATACATTTGAATCAAACCTTTCATGCCCAAATATACCTGTGCAGAAAGAAGCCAAAGGCAAGGCTTCAGTTTCAATCTTAAGCAATTTTGTTTCAGTGCAAGATGTGAAGTCAACATTGATAAATGTTGTTTTGTCCTTGGACATTATACTCTTACTCTACTAAATCTCATTCTGTTAGGTCCTTCTGCAGCATTTTACAGCTATTGATCATACCTATGTCTTGCCTGCAAAACTCTGTCACTGTCAGTTGATGCCTAATGTAAAAACTTACCCTGCACAAGGATCAATTTTGTTTCTCTTCAGCTCCCTATGTAATTTATGTAAACCACCAGAGGAGTACCTTCCTGCTGGTGGCAAGTATGTGATGCTTATCTCTATCTGTGCTACATCTCATTCTGACCTCCAGCATGGTTAAGAAGAAATGAGCTGGCCAAAACCAGTCAAAGCTCAGTCCTATTTGGAGATAGCAAGAAAATGATTACTTATGGGCAGTCCTGCCACATCATTCTGAAAGTATACTTTGGTATGTGTGCAGTGTATGGCTGCTCCCAGGTGCTTGCTGATGCTAAAATCAGACCAGGAAGTATCAGTTAAAAAAAAGTCAATAATGTCCTAATGTCTAGGAAACGTCATCCAGTTCTGCCAGAAGAATGACTTCCTGTGACTGCACTAGAGCCCTGAAACAGAGCTGGAACTGAAGCCGCTGTTGATTAGGGAGCTCCAACTAACTCAGACAGCTGTGATATTTTCATAGTGGCACAGCTACCCCAAGTGTAAGAGACCTTCCACTGGTTTGCTATGGAATTTTTAATCTAATTCCATGACTCTCTTATTTCTGAGTGGTCCCAGATACCTAGAAGACTGCTTAAAGCTGTGGAATGATGCATGTGTTCTTCTGCCCAGTAGGACTTCCTGTGATAAGGGTAAATATGCAGAAGATGAAGACTTCTTATGGTCTGGTCTTGTAGTGCATAAAAATATTTGTTTCCAGTGAAAACTGCCTTTTCTGAATTTGAAACTTTCTGTGCTTCTCCTCCTCCTTCCCTCCCCCAGTTCTGTACAGTCAAAATGTTTTGGTTTGGTCTCATATTTTCACCAGATACCTCATTCTATAGGATCTGAAAAGTACATTTTTCTAAATACGTAGTAAATACCATGAAATTTTGTATTTAGGGAAGTGCAGTTTTCTTTGTACCTGCTGTAGAAATATAGTTTTTGTTTAGTATGTTCTGTTTGCAGAGTCGAATCTTGATGTCACTGAGAAATATCTGCATATAGCAGTGGTTCCTTGATCAGATGGAATGAAAGGGAAACTATCTGTGATATTGTCAAGCTATATAGGCACTACCAAAGCAAAACATTCAGTTAAGTGAAATATATAGTAAACCCGTATTGGTACTTGGCAGAGAAAACCCGTGAATTACCACTATGAGAGAAAACTACCCTAGTGAGATTTGAGGGTCTATGCAGTTGTCATCCCAGATTTCCTTCAGAGGGGACTTTAAATTAAGGTCCCAGGCAAACGAATATTTATCAGTGAAACTGAGAAATAATAATTAAAATTTAGTGGCTTAGGAAGAAAAGGTGTAACTAAGCTAATAAGTGAAAGAAAATACAACACCTAGAAGAAAGATTACTATGTAAAATCTAGAGATGAGACCTCTATTTACCTTTTTACTTGCAGCTTGTGAAATTCTTGCTCATGTAATTTTTCTATAATTCTTCTGCACCACCCATTTATTATACTGGCTTGTGAGGAAAATTAGAGAACAGAAAAAGTGAGGGGTTGGTGTTCTTGGTAAGGCTTCTTTTACATGTCAAACCTGAATTTAAGCAAGGCCATGTACTTGTTATATTGAACTGCATACCCGACATTAAAAAAAAAAAAAAATTGAAAATGAAAACTGTTTATCATACAGAGTAATTTTGGATTCACTATTTTTAGTGTTAAAATAAAAATAAAATTTAAAAAAATAAAATAAAAATATAAAATCACATCCTAAAGATCAACTTTTGAATATAATATAGAGCCTAAAGCCACATGATATTGCTTTAAACATTAACAAAAGCTATTATTCAAAACAAGAACACTAAGGAAAGAAATTTACAGAGTCAGCCACATTTGACTACTTGAGAGCTAGCAAAAATAAAGTGTAAGAAATCAAAATTTTTCTTTTCAAAAATTGAGAAGAAAAGAATGGAAGCAGCATTCAGTAGATGTAATGAAAAAAATCTACAGGAAAACATATTTATGCAGTATAAAGAAAGAAGGCACTTACAATGAAATCCATAGAGTTTCCACAGGGACTTGTTTGAATTAAAGCATAATTTTTAGACAAAGCAAGCAAGACTAATTTGAAATTCGCCAGCAGTGAGTAATTTACTGTGTCCTTTTGTAAAGCAGCACTGGCAACAGTTTTTACTTATCATGTTAGAAATCTAAGCAACTATCTCCAAACTAAACTCACATCGTGTGAACTTACTGTGGCTTTGTCTTTAAAACTTATCCCTTTCATTGCTGTCTTGCTTTCTTAGTATGACTTGCTGAATATCTTGCTCTACACCACAGGATAGAGACCTGAAAATGACCTATAGCATGGAAGTCAGTCCTGATGGTCCTCACTTGGAGAGATATAGGTTTTGTGCAAGTAGCTTTGTCCATGAGTCTGTGGAGCTTAAAGGCAGTGCAACTGAGCAACTTGCTCAGTTGGCACATAACTAGTTGCAGCAGCTCTTTCAGTTCATAGACTAGCAAATATAGCCCCGGCCAAGCACATGGAGCCAAGTTCTGTTCTTAGTTACACTGATATAGTTCTGAATAAACGCTGGCCTGTTTTATTCATTCATAGCTCATACTTTGGATATGAAATTAATGCTTATTCAAGCAACCTCCCACTCATGTAATATTACTGTCCCTACTGAGTTTAAGGAAAGGTTTGCCTAAGTGAAGACTTCAGAATTTTGTAAATATTCAGTTAATGTATAATTTTTGCAAATTCAAACTTGTTTGACACTTAAGTAAAAGCAATTCTGCTGAATTTATTGGAATTGCAGCACGTTTCAAACTGCTTCATAATTTCATTTATCCTCTGCATGCTTGAAAGTGGAATTTGGAATAATAAATGTTTCAGCCAGGCCATGTAGAAAGTGTTAGTAGGTGTTTCCTTTCACCCTAACATAAGTTTGGGAGAATCAGATTTTACTCTTGTGTATATTTGATGCAAGACTGCTAAGAAACATGCTGAGATTTTTTCCTCTTTTTGCCTTCCATATCTGAAAATAAAAAGTGATAGCAGTGTTTCTGTACTCTCAGTAAATAAATATTCCACCTTAACTGTATCCTGAATTTTATATATGTGCTTTTAAAGTGCCGATTCAATATTTAAGCAATAATAAAAAAAATTAAAAATTAATCTTTATTAAAAAGTTATGGATTTAGACTTAATATGATAGGGTGAAGCCAAGGGTAGATAACACTAGCAAACTGGATGTTAACTTCATTAATGACTAATTTCCACAAGATTATTGATATTATAAACTAAATTCAGTGGTTTAGAACAGAAATTATACAATTTCAGTTGCTCTGTTTACCTTTAAATTAGTTATGGCATGATTTGAGGCACATTTAGGAGAACAGCTGTTTTTAATTTAGACTTTCAGTCCTTATCTTTAGTCTGACTATCTTGGACATATGTATTTTTAGTAAAAATCCAAACCTAGTAAATTGGCAGCATATATTTCAGCTAAAAGTCTAAACATTTAAATTAGGCAGAGAGGGCACCAAGAAATGATATGAAGTATGCTCTGGTTTCATGTATGAATAAAACTGATGCCAATTAAAATTCATCTCAAACCTACCCAGGCGTATTTTCCCTGCATCTGTTAGTAACTTTTCTCTCTGTGCTTTTCTTTCACCACTGTTACAAAAGAGAAATGCAGTCAAATGGAAGCTAGTGTAAACTCCATGCAAGTGATTCATACAGCTTCAGTATTGCTGTATTTTACTGAAGCAATGCAAAGCATCATAATGCCAGCATAGTGCTTAAGAAACAGCAGCAGATTTCGAATAAAGAGCTCTGCATTCCACTGGCAGCCAAGGAGCTCAAACAGAAAATATGCCAGTAGTATAGACCAATGCATTATCACCCCCTCTCTCTTGCTGCATAACTGTGCTTCATAATGTGCCATAACATTGGCAAGCACAGCTCAGAGCTTTTTAAGAACACAAGGAAGCTCATGAATAATGGTTGAATCAGGAAAGTGATAATTAAATGAGACAACTGAATGCCAGTGGAGTCCCCAGTGGAAAATACTCTTCAGTGAAAATCATCTTCATTCCCTCTGTTTAGCAGTACAATGCTAAAGATATTTTTCAAACTAACATTTTAAAGAAAATATTAAGGTTCCCAAAACCATATGAGGTATTTTTTGTATGCAACTTCTGTTTTAAAATGGAAGGTATATGATGTGCTTCAAAGAGAGAAAAAAAAAGCTTTAATTTTGACTTGGTGAGATAAAATATTTTGCTGGTTTACAGAACTAGTTGATAATATTAAATTTATATAATAAAATACAGCAACCAATTGTGGCTAAATTGTAAGCATCTTGGCTTAAATGTTTGCTTCATGTTTTTCCTTGTATGGGAGGCATAGTTAATTTCTTTCCATCTCCAATTCCACCTACTCTGTGGCTTTAGAGCAAATATGGTTAGCTGGTGTCTATTCTTCAGTCACCAGCATCTCTACTAATCCCCATTCTGGTACTCTACCACATTCCTTCTGACTTGTGCTGCAAGGAGAGGCT